TTAACAAAGACACCATTCAGAGAGCGTTTGAAACCAACGGAGGACTGAAAAGTTATTTGGTGACAAGTGGGAACTTCATGGTATTACATATTTACAGTAAATACATTTTATATTAGATGTCTTCTTTTACATCATTTCTATTAAATTTATAGATATAAATATTCAATTGGTTTGATTTTATTCATATCAATTAAGTGGTGGTCATAATGATCTCTAAATTTATACATTTCATTTTGAAATTACCATAAATGATTATTTGTAACACCATATCCATAAAAACTGATACAATGTGAATGACTGAATACCAACACTGTTGACCTTCTAAAAACGTGAAGAAAACCGACATTACCACACAAAATAATAGTAATTTTTTCACATTCAAGTATTAAAGAGTAATCAGCATTGATTGGCAATATTTTATTTTTCGATGAATTCTATCGAACTTTTAAAATTATAACTTATATATATTCACGTCTAATAATAAACTGAAATAGGGAAGAAGATTTGTAGCTCTAGTGGATACTTTCAGATGTGTTGCACTCATCAAGATGTTTAATTTAATATCAGAAGGGGTTTCGTGGATATCATAGTAATTTAATAGTTGAGATCATGAGCCAATTAAAGATAGACCACCATAGAAAACCTGGAAGCACAACACCTTTGGATGCCGGCTCAGCGGTCTAGAGGTTAAGCGCTCGCATGCGAGACTGTAAAGTCCTGGGTTCGAATCTCGCGAGGCGGGATCGTGGTTGCACACTATTGAGGAGTCCCAAAATACTTAATTTAGTTAAGAAGTTTTTGCTCTCATCCCGGATAATATTACCAATAGCACTGATTTTAAATAATTATTCCACTACGAAGTAAATAATGGTGTTGTCTAGAATGGTAACAAAACTTCACATTTGAACGGTTAACGTAGGACAGACAAACTCATGAATAAATTATTTATGAAATAATGGTACGAGGCAGTAGAGTTTGTAATATGTTCACATATTTGCAACTGAAATACCCTAAAATATAAGTTCACATAGTTTCATCTCAAGAGAAACCATTTTAAATTGTTACAATTAAACTTCCTCAGAAATATTTGATAGAGATGAATGATTAGCTGTTAAAGTCCATAAAACAATAGGCTGTTATGAATTATTAAAAGCCCACATAATTTTATACATCTTTGTTTTGGAAAATTGGAAGTAACCAGTAAGAAAATTTGGACATAGGATGTGTATTAGTTTACACTCATTACCAAGACAATCTTGTATGATCCTTGGGAAACTGGAAAACCTCACTGTCACTTTCTGAAACAATACCACTGAGCTGCCGATGCCTCAACTAACCCTATGTAGGGTTGAGATGTTGACTCTGATTGACCATCCAGTAACAACAGGTGTCATTTTTATCTAGCCTTGAGGATTACGGACTAGATAAACATAACGTTAGTCACTGATACTCAGTAAACAATCAATTCCATCTCTTTTTGGATATAAAAATACTCCCCAGAACTAGATTGTGCACATAAAACTTTGCACAAACATTCGAGGGACTAGGGATTTAAAGTTTCGAGCCTATCGACCAACGTACCTTCTTTTCTATAGTGAAGAATAAAGCATTCAAAAGTATGTTTATGAAAAAGTCTGCACTGTTCCTGGTAATAATATTGAAAACTGAAAACTAGTAAGTTATTGAGAAGAGTTGAAAAAAACCAATTTTTTGGATTTTGAATAAAGTGTAACTTGAAACACATTGACGCGTCTATTACTCGCCTCCGAATTTTGGAATAAAAAAGCCAAAAAAATGAAAGGATGCAATTATTTGAAAAGGATTGAAGTCAAAAGAGTGACTCTGAAAAATAACAATTTAATTCATTCAGTAAACTGACATAATACTGAGAATAAGACAAATATCACCTATAAAAAGGAATAACGGTCGCTCAATACGCTCAGTTCAGCAAATATAAAAATTTAGACTACTGAGTTGTGATTGAATGATCTAATAGATAATGTATTCATCTTATGGTTAGTAAATTATTGGTTCGATGGTATGCATTATTGAAAATCCTTAACTAGACTGAAGCCGTCTGAACCATTCAAATTGTTTTTTAGTAAATAAGATCATTAGATCTTCCTTTCCACTATCACCAACATCACGTAGGTTGATAAGCGGTTAACTACACCCTATAAATTAGAAGCTAGTAAGTTCAAAGAATGGTTTAATATTTTCGAAGCACCTCATCCTACTGTATTTTTAGATAGCTACATGTACTGAAACAGAAAGTGGATAAATGTAGAAAACCAAAATATACACAAAGACCGACGCCTATATTTAGAAATTTATACGTAAATGATCACTTATGTATATTACTAAACGGTTTCGCTTAAAAAGTATCTAATTTTCTCATCGTTGCTATCTACTATTACCGTTTTGTACTAAAAGCTAAGTTCATAGAGCAGATTTCGTGTTACAGTTTACTGCTTGGTAGGTGGAGAACGTAACTACTCATTATTCAAGTGTTATATGTTATTTAAAAAATACTTTTAATGCTTCGCTTAAATGGAGTGTTCGCTATCATGACAAAAAGTACCCTCGATTTATGATCGAGAAGAAAACACCTCAACATATGTTATTTCTCAAGAGATTTTCGTTAAAGATACAAATCATCAACTTGCATGGAACAGTAAGTTGTTCGAATTTGGAAAATGCGACAATAGAATGTTGTTTTAATGCTCTAAGTAGTATTTTAGTAACTACATGTCTAGAGTATTTGTCATTTTGTCACTATCCATCGGTAGTGTTACAAACTACAGAGAAACAACTACCTATGAAATGTAATTCTCTTATATAAAAATTTAATACCATTTGGTATTACTTAGTTGTCCCTTGTTAATATTGGAAGTGAAAAGATCCATTCCATTGTTATTCATCAGTGTGAGAAATACTTTTGATCAGTCGTTTACTTCAGTCAATACCTACTTTAGAAATAAAATAATATTTATGGGTTATTCAAATGGAATAAGAAATCGTTCATTTATCACATCTCTTCCTTTTAGAGTGAAAATCGTGAATTAGTTTATGCTGTATAGTTAGTTAGTTTTCCAGGTGAATTTTTCTTTAGTAATGAAAATTGATTTTCATTCCTTTTTAATATCACACGTATTTTCCTAAGATTACTGTAGATATGAGAAAAAAGTATGGAATCATTATTATTATTAACGGTCATTGAACGTACAAACGGGAAAATGAATAGAGTAAATGATTAAAAATGGCTAACATAATATCATGATTATTATTATATCAGCTGGAGAACCTTAGGAAACTAGTTGACCAGTACCACATTGGTATCATTAATTCTAAATTCCTTAACTACTTTTACTATTTATCAATTAATTTAAGATGGATATAATAAAGATCCCCAATGGGAAAATTTAAAAATCACATGTAGGCGAACAATAGTATTTTCAATAAGATCGTCTTTAGGTTTTTCTCTGGTTAACATTAACATTTATATGGATCTATGAAGACCTTAAAACAACCGAAGCTATACTTAATAAGCAAAATGTACTAATTACTATTGAGAGGACAGGTGTACTAGTAGTGACAAGAATAATAAAAAGCAAAACGTTTAATCGATGGTTCAGCATAGGAAGTAACTCAAACTTTGATTTATAGATATTAAAATCATAAGCACTAACGATTCTTACAAACACGTAATATGAAGTGTACAAGTGATCAGATAGTGAAGAATGTAAATGGAAGGAGTTGAAGAACGACAAAAAATATTAGTAAAATAACTTATTGAAACACATCCGGCCAAGTAAGAGACAAAAGTATCATCAAATTCTTCTGAAAACATAAATTAAGGTTATATATTCGGATCGCTATAGCTTCTGTTATGTGCAGGAAACGACATAGAATCCCATTGGTAAACGATGAAGGTATATGTAAAATTACTCAAAATGATTTGCTTTTATCATATGAACACAGTCAGCCGGGTGCACCAAAATGGAGCAACGTATCATCTGTATCTTCTCTTTTCAAACCAACTAGGGAGAATTCCACTCAATTGTCCATTAAGTTTCTTGGCAGTACACCCTTTATAACTACTTCGGCAAAAGCAAATGAATTTGTAGATGCATATTCAACAGGAAACCTATGTAACTTATTAGGGTAAAACTTGATGACAGCCCAATTAAAAACAATATTTTTCCTTTATATGTGTTGAAGCGAGAAATGTAAGTAATTGTAAGCAGCTTAGTGGTTTTAAGGTTAAGCGGTCGCTTCAGGAGATCAAGGTTCTAAGTTCAATTTCTGATGGAATCATGAAAACGGACTGCTGACAAGTACCATGCTAAAAAGATACAGCTGTCCAGTGCTTTTGCTCATGAGTGGTTGTTTAAATAACCTCGTTTTGTGAAGGGAGCTACTAAGTTCAACGATCTCCATAACTATAGATTATTGATAATCATGCAACACTACTACCTAGCCACAAATAGAAGTTTCGGTTCAACTGCGATGTCATTACTAGGAACGTTTAGTCATATTGGGTGGGGGACAAATAATTACCAAACGAAAAATATCCAGGCAGCTGAAGTTATCTTTGACGTTCGGTAGGTGTGTCGTACAAAAAACTGTTATCACTTTTCTCATTCAGAGGGTAATTGTGGTCGTTGGATTTGATAGTTAGATTCATGGGCTGACTCTGGACAACATCTGAAAACTGATTCAAGTTAGATAAGTAAATTATTTGATACCGGTTCGATAGTCCGAAAGTTAAGCGTTCTCAGCTAGACCTTAGGGTTCTGGAAAAGATCTTCTGTGGTGATTATGGGTCAACAGTGTCGAGAAGTCTTATGTTGGAACTATACAGCTGGCCAGTATTACATGGATTTGTCTAAAGTCATCATGTATTTTAAATCCCTTACGTTAGAGGTGTCTATTTATTCTACTCCTTCTTAAGTGATTTCTTATTTTTAATCTTTTATCTTGCACAATGCTTATTTTAGGTATGAACATGTCGTACTGTCATGCAACATTAAATTCAATTCATCAGTGTTGGCCGCCTACATTAGCTGGTCAGTTTGCGAAATTACCTTGTCCATCAAATGTCACCGACTTTCATTACGATGAAAATGGTTAGTTTCAATTCGTATACATTTACAAGTGTACTGTATTTAATGATGTATTATGAAATTAATTAGTAATTGATTTGTAAAAATGTTTTAGATAAATAAACGTCAAGGAAACTGATTGAAGCTATCCAATTCAACTTTTCTTTTTGAATAACAATCAACCAGAATAGACTAGCACTTGGAAAAGAAAAATAAGACTATAATGGTAGCAGAAAATGATGAACTTAGCTACAATAAATAGACTATTTATTAAAAAGAATTTAACAAGGTTCAAACTTGACCTAAATGAGGGTATCCATTCGGAACGTAGGTAGGTGATTTACAAAGTCCGAAACGTCTAGCTCCATCCAAGTTGTCCATTGTATTCTGTACCTCTCTGAGATGTGTTGGTCTTCATAATTCAATTGACCACCAGAAGGAAGAGAAAGTGTAAGTGTGAGCAGCCTCGTCTGACACCAGTCTCCACTTGGAATGTATCTGTGAGCTGTCCCCCAGTAACGACCTTCAAGTGTAGTCCATCGTATGAATCTCGTTTGTTGTTAACAAACATCTCAGGAATATTGTATTGTCGAAAATGTTTCATAGGGTTCTCGAGTTCACAAATTCAAATCCTTTCTCATAGTGAAGGAATTTGATACAAAGTGACGAGTCCCATTTCATTGATTAGTCAACAATGATTCGTGGTGTTTTTTGATGGTCTGTACATGACCACCACCGATTATTCAGAAGTGGTCCATGGTGTTGTGTGATGCTTTTTACAAGACAGGTCTTAACGAAATCCATTCTACTGATCTCGAATCTACGCGTTGAGTGAAACTTCAATCCGGTTCAACAATATTCTGTTGAAGACTCTTTGGTACTGACAGCAATTCGATGTCTGTCTAGGTCTTACACTTTCTTGGACCCCTTTATTTTGCTATGTTGACAGGTGTCTTTCTTTTCAGTCCGTTGGCACTTGTTCTTCCTCTCGAATATTTTCAAAAAGAATTTGGAGCATTTTGCAGACACCACCTTATTTGACTTCGGTAATTCAGCTGATATTTTGTCTGATGATGCCACCTTCGCAATGTTCGCTTATCTGGTAGTCATGCAGACATCTATGGAAGGTCTGCAGGTTCTGCACCGATGTCCGGTGAGTTTAGTGAGGCTGATCTATTCAAGAGTTCTTCAAAGTACTCTATCCATCTGTTCCTCTTTACTTGATTCTCAGTGGTTTACTTTCCTTCCTAGTTTTTGACTGTTAACTCTGGTTTACTAAACATTCCTGCAAGTTTATTTGTCGTATGATATTGTTGTCTTTGGAAGGTTTTTTCGTTGTCATTACTTGATAATCCAAGTGTTTCTGCTTGTCAGCTATAATGCTACTTTTGCTTGTTCTGTGTATTCAGTTTGTGCCTTGGCTTACTCTGCACTTGTTCAACTGTTATTAATTGCTGTCTTCATATTGTTTCTTTCTTGAATCTTGTTCAGTGTACCAATAGAGATCCATTCTTTATGTTGGTACTACATGCGGCACATAATCTCCTGACACATTGAAGTCATTGATTCTCTAATCTCTTTTCAGTTGTTTTTCATAGCAGAGATGGATAGTGGCTAGCAGTGGAATCCAGTTTGACGCGCGTTTCGTCCTATTTGGGACTCGTCAGCTGGATGAATCTCAGAGTTGATGTTCACTCTGGGACTCGAACCTAGTACCCTCGCTTCAAACGCCATCGCGTTATCCACTCGGTGGCGTTTGAAGCGAGGGTACTGGGTTCGAGTCCCAGATTGAACATCAACTCTTAGATGCAGGTGCATCCAGCTGACGAGTCCCAAATAGGACGAAAGGCGCGTCAAACCGGATTCCACTGCTAGCCACTATCCATCTCTGCTTACCATGCTTGTGAAATAAGGCTATATCGAGGCTATACGCACAGTATGCACATATGCCGATTAGAGACTGACCAGTTTCAGTCCTAACACATCGATGGGAAGATCCAAACAAACAATACTAAGTGAATTCAGTTTTTCATAGTAGTTTCCTTTTATTCAAGTACATCATATAAGGCTTGAAACCTGTTTCTGATTGCTATCTTGAATTTGTCAGTATCTGGAAGACTCAATTAAACGTCTGTAGTTATGTTTCTGAAGTTGTACAGTGCTCGTTTAGCTTCATTTTCATCTTGATCACCACCAGATAACGATCTGAAGCTAAGTTAGCTTCGCTTTGTTCTCATATCTTCCATAGGTCTTAATAACTTATGATTGATACGATGGTGATAGATCTGGTTCTCCGTGGTGTGGTCTAGTGAGATCTGTGTAACTTCGTGTATGCGTTTGTGAAGAAATATACTCCCGCCTATAACCACTTTGTTGAGGGCACATGAATTTGCGAATCTTCCCCAATTTTGTTCCCTTCTCTTCGTAAATATCGCTTCATGATATTATTATACCTTGTGTTGTCTATTCCGACTTTGTCGTTTAGTTGTCCCATCAGGGTTGTCAGGTCCTTAATTTTCTGAGCCGTTCTCTATGACCGACTGTAGGCTCTCATAAAATTGGTCATCATCTTCTTCTTTGCTTACACTGGTGGATGTATAGCACTGAATATAATTCATTGTATTCTGCTCCTTCATTTTGAAAATGTTTTACTGATTCTGTTTCCCAGAAAGTGACAGACATAAGAAATAATACAAAGCTTAACATAAGTAAGATTTAATAATCAATATATTTTTGTTATATCCCAATTTGTAAAAACGTTGTAGTTCTGACGTTTCCAATTCTTCAGAGTATATAAGTAACCGAATTAAATTAACGCACGTTTATATAGTAAAATGGAAACAATTGATACTTATGTGTAGGATTTACAATGAACATTTTTCGAGATTCTATGTAGACACGAAAATGTCTTCGGTTACTCAGAATAATGATATACGGCTTTCGTCAACAAATCTCAGTGACCAAATGGTTTTAACTACATGGTCAGTTTCGTCAAGAGCTTATTTCTTAGCAACTATGTTAGAAAATGTTCTCAAACCTTCCTATATAGAACAGGTAGCTTACGACTAATTTATAGGACTTTACATTACTACAGGAATTAATTTAAAATACATTTTTTCATATGTTCAGTATTTCTCTATATTTATCAATAAGCTCTGACATAAGAATCAATTTCTCGTCATTAGCTTCATGATAGTTTGGTATTTGTTTTATATATTTATTTAAGTTTTTCCTCTTAGTCTTAGTCATTGAACTTTGAGGCCACTTTTTAAAAAAAAATCAAGAATGGTGAAAATTTTAATCAGCAGTTTACCTGTGTTTGTAACTTACCAAAATATATTTTAAAAACATATAAGATAATTTTGATCTGATTGGGTTGCTAGATTTTGAAACAACTAAATCTGCATAATGCAGAATGATAAGAGAATAAACTAACCGAATATTTGGATTCCAGAATTATAAACAACCTTTATTGGAACAACTCATATATATATCTATATTTTTATACAAGTGAACATCTCGACTAACAAAGTTTGAGTGATTAGCTCCGACGACACCATCGAAGATGAATTGTGATGTTCCCTGTGAACTTCTGAGTAAGAACGAGCTCTTTTTAAACTCATTGAGAAAAACATGAGTGAGAAAGATATAGGTCAGATAGCAAGTCCTACGAAGTATTTACTCCTCTTGAAGTTACTGTTCAAAAATGACAGCCTGAAAAATGCTAACTCAGAGGTTGAGAAAGGCTGTACAGAAGATATTTACTAATGCTAAATCGTTCTTAAAATTATCTAATGATAGATACTATCAATAAAGACAGTCACCTTGATTTCATCACATTCAAATATGTTTAATAATTGAATAGTTCCTCTGGAAGGAGTTATACTGGATGTAAAGCTCAGTAAGCCCGTCATTGTATCTCTAAACCCCATACACATGGGTTCAGTAAAGGACATTTACGGCCGATTAAGTGTTATCCTCACTCATATGGTTGAAAGGAAATTAAGTGAGGCTGAACAAAGTTTTCAGAGTGGTTCGCCAAATCTTATCGAATTCACTTCATGGATATGACTGAAGTCATCGTAACACACATATTAAAACTTAGAATTTACAATTACTAAATGTTAGTACAAGCCGTTTTCGCTAGTTATGGGATTAGACCATACGAGAATCATTTGTAACGGATTTTTGACGGAATTCACATTTTAAAAGGTTTTCTGAATTTTTTTCACTTTAATTACAGATGATTTCAATATTCTCCTCTTTATGCTTATTTGACTAATGACAAAATAACTTTTAGAATGATATTTTGAATGGATCAACGTTAGACCACCATTGAAAACCTGGAAGCACTGTACTTTCATCATAATACTTCGTTAATACCCCCACTATTTATTGTCTTGTTTAGAAACCGTTGCATTAAATATTTTCCATTTTTACAGATAATTAGTTTGATGATGGTAATTACCATGTTCTTTTCAGTTACTCAAATAAATGGTCGATATTATTTTCAGTCATATGTGATAACATACCATCCTATTATAAAACCAATACTAAGCACGATTTTATTACTAGTATATATATGGTCTAATTAAGAATAAACGTAATCTACTACATGAACATTGATATAGTTACAGTAATTGCTTTATTTACTATCATAGTTTTAACTACAACACGTGAAGCCTAACGAAATTCTAAACTGAATCCCTGCCTGATATTCACATAACTAGAAAACGTTCGGAAATGGTCACAAACATCATTTTTAATACTAATGTCATTATTCATTTCCTGTTTTTGAAGTTGATTGGTCTTTGTTAATATATGAACTCATTGGGGGAACATAACAATAGTGTTTGTAAATACGCAGTTTTTAGATTTTTGGATTATAAACACCAGTGTAATTCAAGACACATGTTTCATTTTCTTCAGGAGCCAGAAATCAGACGAGCCTGCGCTTCAAATCTGATATTCGTATTTGAACTCAAACTAAATAATTATCGCTTCAAACCTTTGCGGGATACTGTTCTACACGTCACTGTAATTGGTTTTTACTGAAGAGCCCTTTAAGACATCCAAATGTTTGATGCTGTCTGTTAACATTTTCTTCTATAATTAGGCTGATTAAACTGCTGTGCTACAATTAATCAACAATAAACAATACATACTGTGATATTGAGGGAATTAATTTAACGGTTACATTAAATGTCTGCTATCATTTGAAGACTACAAAATATGAATTTTCTTATTAATGAGCGAAATAATTGTGAAGAAATTTCAATCCTATGGAAGATGTTTTGTGGATCACATAGTTAAACGGTTACTTTTTTCAATATGACACTTTTGGCAAACATTTGCAGCCTATAACATAGGCCAAATGCTGTAATATTACAGGTGTGCCTTAATGAAGATAGCTGAAAATCATTTTCCATCGATTGTCTCTTTTCACCAACCAAGTAGTATTAATTGAAGTAACATAGTACCGAAAACTGATGTGTTAGACTTATATTTTTATCATTTACTTCATAAACCATCTGAATTTAAATTTATTTATTGTTAAATTTGATTATAGACAACTATTTAAATTAACTTATTTTATTCTTAATAATACTGATTCTTAATAGTTTGTTTCTGTTTTGTTTATTTTTATAGATGACTCTTTTCGTGAATGTTTGACAAATGGAAGTTGGGCTGAATTCGCTGATTATTCAGCGTGTACCATTATTTATCCGGTAAGAATAATTCTTGATAAACATGTACACAAGTTATTAATGATTGTTAACTGTTTATGATTATTAAATGTTTATTAGCTTATTATTTATTAAATTTAAAAAGTGATCACATTCCATAATGTCTCGAAATTGCGTTCTAAGTGTGAATGAGAGAAGGAAGTGAATTAATCACTACAATAAAAAATATACGCCAGATATCCCCATCTGGTTTAGTCCTTCTACCTATAACGAATCATGATTTATGAGTACCTTATTTAGGCTTAACAGTTAATCTCCCTACGTAGTTTTTGGCTTTTCGCTCTACGAAAGTTGGATCTTTCTGGGTCATTAAACGTCAGAAATACAGTTTTTCTACTCATTGAAATATAATGAAAGATATATTTATTATTAACTTTTTACCCAATGTTCAATTTATATGAAACTGAATAAATAATGTCTTGATGTTTTAAAGTGATATAGTCCAAATTTGAATCTCAGACTGTAGATCAAAACCGAAGTGAAGATAAATCCAGTTGAAGTTGGGTGTTCAATAGGATAAAACAAACATTCTGAATTGTACTACTGGCCATAATCTAACATATTGTGACTAAATGCTAATGTCAGGGTAATTCACTTAGCAGGCTTATATACTAGAAAAAATTATTGAGTTGTAAACATTTACTAATATACATTAAAATTAGCTGTTTCGTTAACTGAATCAAACTAAACTACACTACAACTTTTTGAAATATTCATATAATACTGGATCATTATGATATTTTCTCAATTCATTTCTTTTAATCAATGTAAATGTGATAAAGAATAATTTTTTTACTTCATAATTACTTCTAATGATTGAATAAATGAAACCCAAATAAAAAGGTACTCATTGGATGACTAAAATTTAAAAAACAAAAACACTTTCACTTTTCAAAAGGAAAATAGAAAAAAAAAGAAAAGAAAACAATCTGATAATCAATTTGATGAAAAAAAAAGAAAACTATTCAGTGTAAAGAAAGAAAGAAAAAAAGAAAAATAATTAGAGTAAATTTCTTATTTTAGTTGAGAGTAATAGAAACAAGAATAAATTCAATTAAAAATTTGAAATTATTTTGAGAAATATACTTAAAATATACCTATTTATGCACAATACCTTAGGATTGAACATTATAGTAGAAAAATTCAATTCACTATAACATATGTGGAATAAATAAATGATTGTTCTTAGTAGAGAGTTTATAAAGATTGTAGAATATTATTGAGATGACGATAGACGGATTTTATTGTTACAAACGGGTTGTGGATGCAGTTGAATTTCATTGAAATTATTAGTCAATCTAAGGTAGATCATTATAGAAACCCTGGGATCACTGGATGACAGTTTCATGATAATATAGGACTCCTTGGCAGTGCTCATCCACGAACAGATATAAAGAAATTCAACCTATGACCTTCAGTCTCACGAGAAAACTTTTAACCTCTAGACCACTGAGTCGGGATTCAACGGCCTTCTGGTGCTTCCAGGTTTTCAATGGTGGTCTAACTTATATCGGTTCATGATTCTAGTAAAATCAATTCCATTTAAAAATTCATTAGAAATCAGCGGGTACTGAATATCTGTTTCGTCCTCTTATAAAATGTTCAACATCGGAACAAAATGAATGCTCAGACCTTTATGTATTGATTTGTGATCTCAATATAAAAAATTATTAATTGATATCAGCAGTAAGGACTGGTTTTGGTGAAAAAAGAATATTCGTATAGGTTGAGCGGTCAACCGCTAATTCTTGAAGTTGCTACATCAATGAATAATCGTAATTGATTGAAATAAATAAGGACGTCATCTTATTTTATTTAAAGTTATGTGACGTATTCAAATAAATACAACCATATCCAAACATAACATGAATACTAGTCTACGATTCAGCCGAATCACATAAGTAATCACTTACAAAATACATCGTGAACCCTTTACCGAATCTATCAACATTAAGACAGAAACAACTCAAAGAATAACAGCGCAATTGTAATCTACTATGTTCTAGTAAGTGAAGATGCGTTGCTATAATGTAGCTAATGCTTACAACAATTCTTTCGAAATGTCCTTTCATATATCAAATGAATTTCATTGTCTTTCATTGACATTTTTAAAGAATATTGAAAACCTATTAATTGTTTGGTTCCATCAATTATAAAATGGAAGTTACGTAACGATCTAATGACTAATGAAGACATAATCATTATATTTTTCGAAGAGAGATAATTGTTCATTTGGTAACTATGAGTATGATAATGATCGAATTTCTTAAACTTAGCTGATTACTATTCATGAAGAAATAGTGAAGGAATGGTAACAATAGATTATCGAAGATGAAAGTCAACGGTAAGATCAGAGATTGATCACATCACTATTATGTACAGAGACCAGGCTGCAATAAGTAAATCTCTGTTTACAATATAATTAATAATTGAGCTATTGCCTGAATTTAGTAAGCTGTAAGATAATGCTCAGTGATGCGCTTCGAGAAACCTTGTTTTCTGCGATCTATACAATCTGCTTCACAACAGCAAGTACGCTTGTGAATGCACATCTATTTATTTTTTAAGCCAGTTAACTGAGTCGAAGTATTAAATTCATTGGGTATTGCTTGCTTGAATCTGCCCATTGATGTTTAGGACTGCAATTAATCAGTCTCTTATTGGCATATGTGCACACTATGTGTATTGCCTCGATATTGCCTTAAATCACAAGCATTATAAGCAAATATGAATAGTGTTTAGCAATGGAATGGAGGACGCGCGTTTCGTCCTATTTGGGACTCGTCAGCTGGATGTACTTGCACCTCAGAGCTGATGTTCACGCTGGGACTCGGACCCAGTACCGTTTGCTTCAAACGCCACCACATTATCTACTCAGCTACTGAGTAAATTGTTCTGAAGTGCTGAAAAATCTTTCATTTCGTTCGTCAACATTTCTATTGAAAAAAATGACATCGATGATGCAATCTCTCACGTTTTTAGTCGCCGTAGTTACATCATCGTAGAAATAAGACATGTTCAGCTAATGAAAAATCAAAAGTAGATCGAATTGGAGTAGTACCTATAAATTTGTCACTATTGTTTAATATGTACTTTGCAGTACCAATGAGGTTACAGAATACATGCAACAGGAAACCGCTAGGAGTTTGATTGTTACAACAGGAAAAACAAAAAGCTGGTGACAAATGTAGGTTCTGTTGATCCTCCGATAGCAAATTCATCTTTTCTATGATGATTGTGCATACACTTGGTGTTTACTTAAAAATTATGACATATAGGTGAAGCACACAGATTTACTACAAAAACCTGTCCTTTAAATCATAGTGAACGAAGTTCATACTAAATTCATATGGGGAATATCATACGGAATAAACGCTACATTATAATTAGTCTTTTACTGGACGAAATATTATGTCGAGCAATTATCATACTGACTACCATAGGAAAGTAACACACTCAGCTAAAAGTATGGTCTCACAGTTTCACACCAACTTAGTAGGCATAAGTGTAATTGTTAGACTAGTTGTGCACATTTGCTCAAATGATAATGGATTGATTTTTGATTTTGACTGTTTAAATATTCATATTGTTTCGCATTGAACAAATTGATGTCACACTAAGGTAGTAAGTTTTTACTTTGAGGATCGACATGTTTAATCGACGTTTAATAAAAAAATATTCTCTTTCATAGACTAGTAACTGCTACTTAATATGGTCTAGACCCAAAATAATTTTTCTATTCAGAGTCTTTTTGTATTCAATCAACACAAGTGCAAAGATTAGATGGATAGATGTAAATATATTTTACCTCTAAATTATGAATTACTTTTTCATCTCTATGCTGATTAACAGTTATATTTCGAATAAACGGTTAGATTGAATGAACAGACTATAACTTTGAAATTTAACCAAGTTATTAAATCTCAAAAATTTAGGAAATCATACTCATTATTCATTCATTAGCAGCTACATTTCATCTCGATAAATGATTGGAAGGCATTACGAGCGTTTCTTTTTACTAAGGACTCATCGTCCGAATTAACCTGCACCTGTATTGATGTTCATATCGAAACTTGAAAATACTACCGTTATGCAAGATAATTGCAATTAACGCGAGAAGTTACAAAGTACTGACAATACAGAAACATAGCTCCCGATCCTCCATTTGTATATTTCAGTGTGTTCTGCAGTCTGAAATGTCTTCTCGACTGGCCTTCGATTATTCTGCTGACGCCACGCTTTCGGTACACTGAAACTCGTCACTCTGTTTCAGAACTGTTACAACTCAGGTTCCACGTTCCACTACACACTGCTTACGAAGATCCTTGTTAGTAGCGTCCACTACATTACCTATCGTTTCAAATACTTAGACGCGTTGTCAACTTAGCTATGAACGGAAAATCCACATGACGACTCCCAAATAGAACAAAACCCGAGACCTAAATTCCTCCGTTAGCCACTATCAATACCTTGGGTTTAGTTTATAGTATGAAGTTCCATAACACGGTCTGGTTTACTTAAAAAACCGACAAAAACCTGGAGCATCAAACAATTATTGCTATCTAGTGTGGGAACTCTCACCATTTCGCTAGCTATTTCATAAGCAATTGGAAAGAACTCTTTGACTGTTCTTGATTTACTCTAAAGACAATTGAATGCATTGAACGAATTTGAAAGAAAAAATTGGATCACTTTATCTGCTGGGATACAATTACCTGGCTCATAAAACAAAACACCATTAAAATGTATTTTTATGATTAGCAAAGATGGATAGCGGCTAGCAGTGGAATCCAGGACACACCTTTCGTCCTATTTGGGACTCGTCAGCTGGATGTACCTGCATCTCAGAGTTGATGTTCATTCTGGGACTCGAACCCAGTACCCTCGCTTCAAACGCCATCGCGTTATCCACTCGGCCACTGAGTCCTGATATCCACTTGCTTGTGCGATGGGGTGAAGTTTAAATAGGACGATACGCGTGTCCTGGATTCCACTGCTATCCATTATCCATCTTTGCTTATCATGCTTGTGAATCAAGGCTATATCGAGGCAATACGCACAGTATGCACATATGCCAATTAAAGACTGACCAGTTGCAGTCCTAACACATCGATGGGAAGATTCAAACAAACAATACTTAGTGAATTTATACATGAATGCGTTTCTAAGTTGAATTTCTTTAACTTAAAATGGTTGTTCATTCAACCAGATTGTACAAATGTTCTAATCATTAGATGATTTCTTTTTTTTAAACACTAATAATGTACAATATAACATTTGTGAAGAATAAATGAAAACACGAAACGCGTAGAATATAATTAGCTAATAGAAAAAATAATAATCATAATTTACACAAACTATGTACATGGTAACAAAGAAAAACGATGAAATTCTCCGACTATACCCATGAATATTAGTGTATTAAATAACTCGTGTAGATAAATAAGGAATAATAATATCTTATAATTTAAGTATATCAAAATCATTAAACCTCCTTGTCATTACAGAAATTTAGTAATTTTAAATAATTCATTATAGTATGATTGTAACGACCGAAATGCCAATATTCGGTTTGAACGTGGAACTGACGAACTAAAATGTATTCGATTAAACCAAACGACGTTGTTCAAAACGTTTTTGAGTTAGTGAAAATAAAATTCTATCAATACACAAACTCTGTTATCAGTTTAAACGGTTCTAATTTAAGAAGGAGAATAAAATGTAGCAAAATTATAAAATATCTTAAACGATACACCCTTTGCTAGAGTATCAAGGGGTTTTTTTAATACAAACTAACGGGCTTAACAACAAGAGGAATAAAATAAATACATTTTTGTTATACCTCAATGATAAAAATTGTATTTCTCAAGTTTTATGACTTAATGTAAGCCATTTCTTTAGAGTAAATTAATAAGCGAAATCTAATTAACAAATGTTTAGACTATTAAGTCAAACCTTGGTATCGATACCAACGAAAAGAATAGTTAGCAAAAATTAGTTTGATACCTAAGAGTGGATAAAAATATTCTCAACAATAAGGGATCAGATGTTCATTTGCAAAGATTCCGACAACTTTTCTAAGCAGACAGTCAAAGGTTAACAGTCATACACTGAACCCTTAGTTTAGTCAAACATGATTTTATTGTCAATAGTTCTGCAAAATGCAACAGTAAATTAAGTAATAAAAAATACATCTTTAGCCAGGTTCACATAACAAAAGCCCCTACAAGGAAGACGGAATAATATAAAATATGGTTAACAAGAGATTTGAATAGAGGTTAAAATACAAATTGCCCAATCAAATTCTGTTGAAGGATCTTTAGCGTATTCTTTCCGTTACTATGACGTTATACGTTTCATACCTTTTTTAAATCATTACAGAATATGTATGTACATAAGCGATTTCTAAATAATAATCAGTACTTTACCCTGTGATGTTTATGCTTGAACAAGTTTGTTTAAGTGATAATTATGCTCATAAATAACCTAAAACCTAATTTTGTTTCCTTTAATTTTGATTTCTTTTCTTCTTTTTTTTAGTTAAGTGATGAATTTTTCATCTTTTTATGCTTTCTAATCGGTTACATTATATCTATGATAAGTGTAATCAGTGGAATTTTCATATTTCAATATTTTCGGTAAGTAACATTATGTTTATTTTCAGAGTTGAAAACAAATACTGTTTACAATTCAATTTGATATACAAGAAATAGATCTGGTGGATGAATAAAATTAGAATAGTAACAATCAGTAGAAAACTGAGAACATCATAGCATTTTATTATAAAGAAGTTTCATTTCAAGCAGAACCAATTATACAAAATAAATTAAATTAGTTTAGTTAACTGACATCATTAGTTTATCCCACTCGCGGGAACGTGGGTGTGAACTGTTCGGGAGTCCCAACCGTTCAGTGCTTCCAGGTTTACAATGGTGGATTAACATGAATCGGTGTATCATCTCAATAAAAAATAAACCAGTTTAATTAACTGATAGCAGTTGACTGGCATCAAAATACATTTCTAGTGTATCTGTGCTCCTCACATGAAATTAAGTCATATTCATAATGAATATGATACCATTTAATTTTTTGTAAGCTATCAACCATTAAGATGGATTGAGTTTTCTATTTTTAAGAATGTAATTTTAGTAAAATTAGTTTTCTTGTTGTCTTTTAATTTTGAATTCTTTAATCCAAGTATAATTATTTACTGTATCGCCAAATAAATGCTGGTCATTTTCTGTCTAAAAGCTTTTGCTTTGTGTAGCTATCATCTTGTTAGTTCTGGTAAACGGATTAGCAAATCTTTAAATCCTTCCACATATCTTTAAACTATGAGCTGGATCATTGTTTGGTTTGTTAATACTTCCATAGTTTCAATGTGACTAACACTTGAACAACCGAACAAAGAAACAGACTTTACTGTTTATCCTTCTCAACAAAAGGTTTACTCGAACAGTCAGTCAGTCAGCTACAACGTAGGACCACGCACACAGATGCATCGGTCCAAATTGCCATATCTCCTTAGCACAACGAGATGAACACCGGATTCATAGAAATAGTTAATTTAGTGGTGGTAGTATATAAAGAAAGGTTGTATATAAGGATATAGTATAGGAAGAAAGAAAGATATGAAGCACTTTTAATCTCAAGGTTTAAGGGAAGATGAAGAGTGTATACACCTACGCCATTGTGATCGGTTCTGAGCCATGTCATCCAGAGTCTCCAACCATTGGTTACGATAGTCACGCGGACCCCAACCAGGTAGACTGCATCTACCAACATTGCTCAGACTGGAAGTTAGTGACTTCAAGCACTGATGCTACGTTTTGGTTTGGCCGCCCCTAACTCTCTTCCAACCATCACCTACACTAGTCATCATAGCGCGTCGTGGTAATCGGTGTTCAGGCATACGTAACACGTGGTCCAACCATCTCATGCGATGAAGATTCATCACCTCATCAACTGATTTACCATCATTTCCTAATACCCTGTGTCTAACCTCACTATTACTTACTCGGTGATCCCAGCAGATGCGAGCAATATTTCTAAGGCATTTGTGGTCAAACAACAGTAACTTACGAGTATCTTCTACTCTTAATGGCCATGTTTCGAAGTCGTAAAGTAGAACAGAACGAACTGCTGCGCCGTATACTCGTCCCTTAATTGATAGACGGATATCTCGTCTTCGCCATAGGTGACGTAAGTTGGCAAAAGTCAAACGAGCTTTTTGAATCCGTGCTGAGATTTCGTCAGACACCAACCCATTAGGGCTGATGAGACTTCCAAGATAAGTGAAGTTGTCGACGCGTTCGACTACTTCAATTCCTATCGTTAGTTCAGGTGTTGACGCAAACCAGTCCTGGAGTAACAATTTACATTTAGATGGGGAGAAACGCATCCCAAACATCCTGGCATTATTACTCAGTTCCAACAGAAGACTCTGCATTTTGTCAGCGTGTTCACCAAACAGGACTATGTCATCTGCGTATTCTAAGTCGCTTAGTGGTCCCCCTGGTAGTAGATCAATTCCTGAAAATTCAGTCGAAGAGAGTGTTATTTCCAGCAACAGGTCTATAATGAAGTTAAACAAAAATGGAGATAGTGGACAGCCTTGACGGACAGTACTTGAGGTTGTAAACTCATATGACAGTTCGCCATAAGCTCTGACTCGACTGGTAGTGTTCGAGTAAAGAGCCTTCACAAGGTTTATGTACTTCTCAGGTACACCTTTCAATGACAGACATTGCCACAGAACCTCTCGGTCTACAGAGTCAAATGCTGCTTTCAAGTCAAGAAAAACTATCATTGTCGGACGCCGATAAGCGTGTCTGTGCTCTAAAACTTGACGAATGGTGAATATGTGGTCGATATAGCCACGACCAGGTCTGAAGCCAGCCTGATTTTCTCGTGTTTGCAGTTGACGAGTCTTAGTTAGGCGCCCGATAATTACTGAGGCAATTATTTTAGATGCTATGTTAGTCAGATTAATCCCTCTATGGTTATCGCAGGATGATTTGGACCCCTTCTTATATATTGGAACAATAAGTGATTGTGACCAGTCAGATGGGATTACGTTCGTCCCCCAGATTTTAGCCAGAATATTAGTCAACCTAATCGCTAAAATTGGACCACCATAATTAAAGACCTCTGGAACCAATCCATCTGAACCAGCTGCTCTTCCTCGTTTCAGATTACTTATAGCCTTTTGAACTTCAGGTAGGGTCGGGGGGCCTACTTCAATGTTCCATTCATGTTTTCTGGGAATAGTGGGTAGTTGTGCAGTAGCTGAAGGCCAGCTAAACTGCTCCTTAAAGTGTTCCGCCCATCGGTCTAAACGTTTGGGTTGAGAGCAGAAAAGGGTTCCGTCTTTTTCCGAGATTGTCTCACTTACACTTGACTTTTTAATACCGGTTTCTTTTATTATTCTGAATAGTTGCCTGGTGTTGCCTACAGCCGCTGCCGTTTCCATCTCTTTTGCTTTCGTTGCCCACCACTACTCACGATCGTTCCTTAGACTTTTAGTTAACCTAGATCTAATTTGTTTACGCTCTTCGTCGTATTCAGAGCCTGATGGGATGAGTTTACGCGAATCCATCAGTGAAATAGACTTAGAAGAAATCCACTGGTTTTTTGGAGCCCTATGGTTTAAATAACGAATAGATGTTACTGCTGTTTCCACAGCTGTTCGTGTGTCTTTCCAAACAGCATCTGGGTCAGTCTCGTTTATAGAACTGCCTAGATGTGAACTCAGTTGTTTCTGGAATTCGCATTTGGCTTTCTCGTCCTCCAGTTCAATCCTAATGGGTCTTCTTAGTGTACTTTTCCTGCGTTCATTGAGGCGCAGACAAATACGCGTTCGTATTAAAGCGTGATCAGAGTCTAAACAAGTATTCCAATACGAGCGACGATCTTCTATTGAGCCTCTCCAACGATGACTGATGACAATATGGTCTATTTGAATCCATCGTTGGTTTGGAGCAAGTGGTCGTCATGTTAGACGATGTCTCTCCTTATGCTTAAAATTAGTGCTTGTTAAAAATAAACGATTGTCTGAGCATAGTTGCAACAGACGATCACCATTATCGGTTCGTTGAGCCGGAATACTAAAACACCCACCTAAATGTCTTTCTGTTAGATTTAAGCTGCCTACCTGGGCATTAAAGTCACTCGCTACGACTACTATGTCTGAGCGCTTAGCTTTCTGAAGAAGCTCAGAGTGCTTTCTGTAAAAGTCATCTTTCACTTCATCATGGCTGCAGTCAGTGGGAGCGTAGGCAGAAACGACGAAAAGGCAACGACGTGTGTCCCTATCCTTCCGAGTTCTTATGAAGCCATTTAGCCGGACAGTACACAGGCGACTGTTAACGGGGATCCATTCTAGTAGTGCCTGTTCTGCCCTTGTACTTAGTGCTATGCCTACACCTGCAAGTCCACGAGAACTAGCCAACGGGTTGCCAGATACACGGAAGGTGTATTTCGTTGGCTGTCCATTTTGGCGAGGTGAGGTCAAGTGAATGACCACACTAGGATCCTGTATGCGTGTTTCGGAGACACAGCATACATCAATGGTACGAGATTCTAGGGTTTAAGCTAAGGAGGCCTGTTGGCCGATTTGACTTAGGGTACTTACGTTGAAGGCTTCAATGTGTAGTTTGGAGCGAGGTTTTAGTAAATCCGAAACAGTGATTCGCGCACTAGAATCGTTGGTTATGGTGACACTTTTGGAGGAAACCGAAAGAGGAAGTTTAGTGTTGAAAGTTGAGGTAGAAGGAATAGTAGGAATCGAAGGAGATTGATGATGAATACAGTGGTCTTGAGTGCTGTTAGAGGTATGAGGGCAGTTATCACTTCCCGGTTGCCCACGCCGTGGAAGGATTCTTCTAGGGGTACCTAAAAAGGAAATTGGGTTAGAAGTGGTCTTAATGACCTGAGAGCATGACCGCAGTGCCCAAGGAACAACTGCTTGAGGTCGGTCACACACGACCTTTTTGTGGGTAACTTTTGTGTTAGCTCCGTTCTTCAAAAGACCTTACCGCCGGAGACGGATATCCGTGGGATAAGGCGAGGTGTATATTTTTAGGGTCGACCTTTTCTAACCCCACCCCTCCTTGTGGGAAGGCATCATCGCTGTTATGCTGGTTGTCTGAAGGAAACACCTTACTGCCGTCACACCTCTGTATAGTCAGCAGTATCACTTCGCCTTCGGACCTTGGGATTGATGCTTTTAGTCTTACCGCTCTTCAACCTGCCTGGCATGGTAGGACCTTGAGGAACGATTGTTCCAGCCAGTATAGCTGGATTGATTCATCACGATAGGCAAGCCCGACCACCACGTCAAGGTTTCAGCAACGGTCGGGACTCCAACAAGAAGATAACTGGCATACCTTTAGTTTTAAAACACATTATTTATGCTTGATGGTCACACAAAGAACACTTTCTTATCGATTTCATAAGTTACTATATTTGGTCTTTCTTTATAAAGTACTCATGAAGATTCTAATAGTCAGCATCATATTTCAAACATAGCAACTTAATCTTGAACCTCTAATATAAGATAATAAAAGAGTATACTTTATATCATTAAACGTTAATTAACTTCTATTAAAATATTTAAAAAATGATCCGCATATAAGTAGTTTTTGTTCTATTTATTTGTATCCCTAAGTGACTGGAAAAAAAGTAATCAGTTATTGAGAGCTAAAAATCTATTTAATTCCTCAGGTTAAGTTATTCTTTTATTATAATGAGATAAAATCAGTTTACTAATGGTAAGGCGATAATGGCTTGAAGAAAATCTTAAGACATTAAATGTAAACGATAAGTATTATATAGTATTTTAAATGGGAGCCTATTAATAACTTGTTTTGTTCTCATTAGTGGTTGAATTCTGTATGTTCTACCGATCGATTGAGTTTGATCATGTTGAAAATGAGAGAAGTGTCCAAGAATAGCATTGAATAATATATATGGATCGTATTATCATGAATGTATTGTAAACGTAGAATATAAGAAGTTGATTCGTGGTGTAAAGGAACTATCAGCGTAAAGACTGGAAGCTTAGTTTTCTATCTCACATAATATAGCGGATGATTAGTGGTAGAATTTCGAACGACGAAAAATAGCCAAACCCTAGTTTTTAGTTTTTAATGGCTGTCTAAATGAAGTCAGTTTAATAGTTGAGATCATGAGTCAACTGAAGCTAGACCACCATGAAAAACCTGGAAGCACTGGACAGCCATTTTGTCCTATTTTGGGACTCCTCAGCAGTGCGCATGCACGATCCCGCCTCAAGAGATTCGAACCCAGGACCTACTAGTCCACGCGCTAACGCTTAACCACTAGACCACTGAACCGGCATCCAACGATTTCAATAACTAACTTCAACCGATCCACGAAACTGAGGGAAACATCCACCAATTTGTTCAGTGAGTTACTATCTCACTACAGACCTGGTTTAGCTCCACTAGTCACTGCTTCTCACTAGAACGTCAGTAAATTCCTCTTGAAGCCAGTCACCAGTGAGCATATGTTGATTAATATCAGAAAGAGTTTTGTGGATATTATAGTAATTTTGATAGTTGAAATCATGAATCAATTGCAGCTAGACCACCATGGAAAACCTGGAAGCACTGGACGGCCGTTTCGTTCTATTGTGAGACTCTCAGCAGAGCGCATCCACGATTCCGCCTCACGAGGTTCGAACTGAGTTCGAATTACGAACCATAATAACTCTAAATTAATAACGTCTCAAAAAGGTTATCTGTATATCAAAAAAGTTATTTAAACCTCTCGTAACTTTAGTGCTCTAAATAAACCACTATCTAATTATTGATGTCTATTGTTATTTCACATGGGATTATTGAATCTACGTGAATGTAAAATATTTGCTGTTATGTTTGATGGTTACTTTTATCTATTCTACAGGTCACTAAAATGTGTACGTAATAATATTCATACTCATTTGATGATTGCCATACTATTACGTGCTTCTTCATGGATTTGTCTAGCTTTAATAAATACAACTACCTTGGTAAGTTTGGATATAAAGGAAATTCATTTAATTTTAACATTTTAAAAAATGATATCAATTCTTCATATAGCAGTTCTTTAAATCATCTAGACGCATGATAACTGAAATGTAGTAAGATTTGATTGAATACACCTTCTGTCATCTTTTTCCAGTACAGTTGAACAAAATCAATATATTTTAAGTAAGTCAATTTGTGATTCATATGAAAACATATTCAAGTTCTTCATATTCTCTTTTCAATCGCATGTGAAAGTTTGAGTGACTTCAACTAAGCTAAATATAATCAGAGATTATATTCATCATGTACTCACTAGTGATGGTCTCCAAGAAGTATTTTCTGGAGTTACACTGAGAAGCCATGACTAGTGGAGTCCAACCGGGTTTGTTTTTGAGATGTTAACTCATTTATGACAATAGTGGATGGTGGCGCAACTTCGTGGATTAATTCAAGTTCAAATATACATTTTAAAAATATATATTGTATAAATCGAATATTCTTTAAATCGTGTACCTCTTCAATTTGTATATTAACCTTCATAGCATCGTTATTCTTAAACTAATAGAGTGTTTGATAAGTTAACATAACTTTTCAAAATGGTTTCGAATTCAATCTAATTCCTGATATTTGAGTTAACTAATATCAATGCAATAGAAGATCATCTTTAATTTTCTTTCGTAATTTCATAAACATTCATAATACTAAACGGACAATTTAATTGTACCACTAAAATAATAACTCAATATATTTAGTAATACAATTCAGAATTTCTGAAAACAAAAACTTTTACATGTTTTATCTTTCATAACAGTATTAAAATGAAACAAGTTTTAGAGACAGACCAGTTGCACTCCCAACACATCGATGGGAAGATTCAAACAAACAATACTGAATGAATTTATAGTTCACCCTATCGTACAAGCAAGTGGATATCAGGACTCAGTGGCCGAGTGGATAACGCGATGGCGTTTGAAGCGAGGGTACTGGGTTCGAGTTCCAGAGTGAACATCAACACTGAGATGCAGGTACATCCAGCTGACGAGTCCCAAATAGGACGAAGCGCGCGTCAAACTGGATTCCACTGCTAGCCACTATCCATCTCTGCTAACCATGCTTGTGAATTAAGGTATATCGAGGCAATACGCACAGTATGCACATATGCCAATTAAAGACTGACCAGTTGCAGTCCTAACACATCGATGGGAAGATTCAAACAAACAATATTGAATGAATTTAAGTTTTAGAGAAGTTATTATTCTTTGTGAAATTTCATAGAGAGATGTAAACGTTTCCTACTAATTTTAATTTACTTTTCTTTTTTGCAAACTTTAACCTACCCTTTTAGTTAGTTTATTACTGTTTAAGTGAAATCATATAACGACTATGAAATACATGTATACAAGATAAATTATTCTACTCAATATCAATACAGCCTACTTTGTATGGTAAATGTTATACAAACATCAACTAGCATTCTTAGTTATAATATCAACATGTAATTGATTGATATTTAGTTATTAATGATGATCTTAAAAAATATGCTTACTAATATTTCACTTGATCATTGTTAAATTTATTCAATAATGAATAGTTGATTCATTTAATAATAATAATAAGTAACAGTTATAATATTCATAATACTGTGGTGTGGGTTACTGATATCCACATAAGTAGTATATGGTGATGGTCTGGCATTGAGAGAACGATAACGGCACGTAATTGGTACGAAAATGCATGAACAATTATAATAGGAGACTGTGGATGGATATTTTCAGAAGGAACAGTCAAATTGAGACAATTAATTGTTATTTTACAAATTAACTGTTGACTATATGCTTATGAGAATTTAATGAGATATTTTGTAATGTAGTGATAGATACATTCGATTGTCTCCACTTGTGTTCTTGTTCACTAAAATACTTGTATGAATTAAAGATAATAAATTTTCAATGTTTCATCATATTTTTTCATTAAATTCATGATATGATTGCTGTTAGACCATCATTTCACTACAGACCGCAAAATTGATTTTTCTAAGAATAAATTATTATTTACATGTTAACACAAGTTGAATAAGTGAAGATAAAGCAGATTTAAACAGTTACTGTTCATTTTAATCTGTGAATATTCAATTGTTGCATCGTAATATTTACAATTTGACTTTAGAGTCTTTGTTATCCCTTATATGATTGTTTTAACAAATCTCTTTTCAAAAAGAATAATAATTATATTTTGAAACCAATATTATATTTACATTAGTTGTTTATTTACACTGATCAGCAAAAAGAAAGAAACAAATAATAATAATCAATAATGATTATACTACTTTTCCTTTTTTTATTATTCATATTGAATGGAAATAAAAACAAAATGTTATCTATTATACAAAAAATAAAACGTCTCTACTGAATAAATCAAGAATTGTCTTCATTAGTGCTAAAAGAAAAGTGATATAGATAAGAAGAAGAGAAAGATGAATACAAAATATTGGAAAATTAATTGCTTTTAGAGATGTTGAATTTACTTCTTTTTTTTCCCTTTTGGACATTTCTACAGTTATTATACATCTTATGACCTTGTGGTTTCTTTATCATTCTATTCAAAATCTCACTAAATTGTCTTCATTTATTGTTGCCTTTATTCTAATTAACTATTTATTCAGTTATAAGTTAATATAAACTCCACAATATGTATTTTTTCCAATCTCATTTTAATATTCTATAAATATATCTCATCAGATTATTATTATTATTATTATTCCATTTATACATGATGTCATTATTCAAACACATACACACACACACACACAGTTAATGGTACACTGTCTTTCACACTTTTTCTACTTTCATTTCACAGTATGTTCTTAATGGATTTGTCCCTTATTGAACGAGTTAATAATTGAAGAACATATGATGACAATTGTATTAAAAAAAGGAAAATATATTCATAATAAACATTATTATATCTGATGATCCACTAACCTTAAAAAAAAATTTTGTTACTGTTACATTTCTCATTCTAAGAGTTAAAAAAGAGAAAAACAAAATAAATGATGGATAAATTCACTTGGTATTGTTTATTTATAATGCTTGTAAATTAAGGCAATATCAAGGCAATACATACTGTATACACATATACCAATAAGAGACTGATCAATTGCAGTCCTAAACATCAATGAAAACAATCAAGTAAACAATACCAAGTGAATTTAAACTTCACTCCATCGCACAACCAAGTGTATACCAGGACTTAGTATCTAAGTGGATAACGCAATGGTGTTTGGAGCTAACAGCACTGGGTTCGAGTCCCGGAGTGAATATCAACTCTGGGATGCATTTACATCCAGTTGACAAGTCCCAATCAGGACTGAAAGTGCATCCTTTATTCCACTATAAGCCATTATTCATCTTCACTGAAAATTATGGATAAGTTTCCAAATATTATTGGATATAATACATATTACATAAAATGTTGATAATGGCTGAGAAAGATCTTGTGTTTCTAAGTAACTTATGTATAGTTTTTTTTATAAAGTGTTTTAAACAGTCGATTGAAAACAATAAACATTTGTTTAATGACATTTTGCTTATAATTTTTGGATTACAAAGTAATTGTATTTGTTTGCTTGGATCACAAAGTTCAATTTTATTAATAAGCAATTAGTAAGGGTAACAATTTTAATTGTAAAATAAACTGAAATCATTTAATTGCATTTTGTTCTCATTAACTGCAGTTTGTAATAGTTCCAAACTGTAAATAGAATTCGACATACTTTTACACTGGAGTAAAATTTAATGTTAATATGCAGCTGATAAAGCGGAGATCTTAATCTGGAGTACCTTTAGTAAAAAATTGTGTATGAATTCCTACATTTTTTCGATGATGCTTGTTTTATCTATTTATTTATTTTTATTACTATTAGCTTTATTCAATATTTTATTGTCGGTACAATATAGAATTCTCAGCAAAAAGTATTTCAACAACTTTCGGTTCCTTACTTCTTCATCGATCCTGACGATAAATACTGAGTAATCGCCAGTTAAAAGTTAGAAGTCTAGTCAATCGACATTTGAATAATGTACATTCTTTTTGCTGCATATTGCCACTAACCACCGTATTTCTGATTATGCATTTTGTAACCTTCGCAGTAAAGGGTTGTACACTTTCCAGGAACGCACCTGAATAGGTTGTGCGATGAATAGCCACAACGATGCATTAAAAGAAACAAAATTAGATAAGTTGCTGAAACTTATAAATTGTAGGAACAGGGAGCCTGGATGTTTAAGCAGACCACCATTCCATATTTCTCCAAGTTTCAGCCTCGTAAGATAAAAATAAATGTCTTGACGGCTGTGTTGAAAATTCTGACTTTGATGTTGTCTGACAGTTGTTTTGAGTTCCTATTGCTCTTCAAATGTAGGAATACAGACTTCGCTTTGCCAACCCATGCCTTCACATTAGGTTTTTCCTTGTGTATGTTGAGGCCTACATTTACAGACGTTGCTGTTACACTGACTGTTTTCACCTGCATTTGTTGCTGCGTATGGATTAGAAGAACTAGGTTGATGATTTGCAAAGTCCAAATCGTCTAGCCCCATCCAAGTTGTCCATTGTATTCTGTACCTCTCTGAGATGTGTTGGTCTTCATAATTCAATTGACCACCAGAAGGAAGAGAAAGGGTAAGTGTGAGCAGCCTCGTCTGACACCAGTCTCCACTTGGAATGTATCTGTGAGCTGTCCCCCAGTAACGGCTTTCAAGTGTAGTCCATCGTATGAATCTCGTTTGTTGTTAACAAATATTGTATTGTCGAAAATGTTTCATAGAGTTCTTGAGTCCACAAATGCAAATCCTTTCTTACAGTGAAGGAATTTGATACAAAGTGACGAGTCTTATTTCATTGATTAGTCAACAATGATCCGTGGTGTTTTTTGATGGTCTGGACATGACCCATTCTAACGGAATCCATCCTGTTGATCTCGAAGTTGAGTGTCCATTAAATA